CCATACACAACAATAAAAACAGCATCAACTTGTGGTAGGGTTACCCCATAGTTCTTCCTTTAAGGAGCTTCTATCAATTCGGGCACAGTTGCTTTGTTAGTAAGACACAAAAGACCATTGAGTCTCACCATTATCTGGAAATAAAACTTTTGGTAACATTTGATAACAATACTGAGTAAATGTTGAAGCAAAAGAATGGTGGCATCTGGGTGGATGGAAGTCTAGCAGAAGCAAAAAACCAGTAATAATAGGCCAAAGACAATGCAATCAGCCTTCTATTCAATATGTATGACCAGGGGAAGGCAGAACCCTTCCCATCAAAGAAGACCCTAACTGGGGATGTGGCTCAGTGGTAGAGCCCTTGTCTTGCATGTACAAGGCCCTGGGTTCAATCCCCAGCACTACAAGAAAAAAAACAAAAACAAAAAACAAAGAAGACCCCATTAAAAACATCTAGTGACTGAATTAGTAAGAAGGAAATACCCAAGTACAAGATGGAGAAAAAAGAAAAATCTAGTAATAAAGGGAGAAAAAATCCTTGGGCTCCAGTTCTGTAGTCTTTCAGTTTAGGGGTGATACAATATTTTAAACCAGGTAACAGCTGAAGCAGGATGCTATTTTTAGTGGTCATGATGCTCACCTACCCTTGGAAATCATTTATAACAGAACAAAATTTTGGAAGTTTTACAACAAGGGAAGGAAATGGCACAGGTCAAGATTCTAATTCACTATTTCTTGATACTAAGCACAGGCTGACAATTGTAGTTGGGACCATCTGATCAAGTATGTTTTCATCTCTTGAATTCCTCTTTTTTACTGTATGGATTCTTTTCTATCAAAAATTATAATACATAGTATTTATATTCTCTGAGGTAACCAGTTAAATATATTTCTATGTATTATTTATCATCAAGATTGGGCTGATTTATTGCCCCAACTCCCACAATGTATGGGAATAATGAAATTTGAGTGGCTACATTTTTTTACACATGAAAATCACAAAACTACAAGTTTACCTTTCAGTGAGAGGGAATAGCTCACCTGCCAATAAGGTTTATGTCAAAGGATATAAAGCAATTATATATACTTCCATTTTTGACTCTTCCTCCTTTCTAAGAGATCCAGTCCCCCAAAATATCCAGCTGGTCACCATCAATTGATAGCCTTATCTTTTTGGGTAATCAACTGATAACTTCTTATCCCTTATAAAAATCTTCATCACCTCGCTTACATCTAGATGTCTTATGTTTGTATTTTCGTAGATTTTCTATTAATACTACCTTAGCTTTTGGGTTATGATTTATAAATATCTACACAATCACATTCCCTAAAGGCAAGGGCCTCGCTAGGAAACAAACGGAAGTCCTTGTTGCTGAAAAAGATGACCTATGGATATTCTATATACAGAAAAATGGGGATAGTAGGGCCCTGGATGGCTCAGGCATTTACAAATATCCTTCAATGGGCCATCTGGAAAAGAAAATCTTGGCTGTTTTGCTACTGAAGTGTCCCAAGATTCACATAACTAACTTTTTTATTTTGTCAAATACTCCTCTCAAAGGATGGGGCTGCACCACTTTGAAGACAATGTCAATTATTTTCACAAGGCAGTAGTAGAAAAAGCACCATTAAGCATCAAGAACACGAAAGGTAAGAAACTGGTTTTCAACAGTGAATATGGATGCTAGAGGCAATGCTCCAAGGACTGCCCTTTTCTCTGCCAGAAGCTACACTTTAACATAAGCAACTGATGTAAACAACAATGCAACACCCCATCCGGTGGGTAAAAATGACTTAGATGAGAGTAACATCAAACCCAAGTACCAGCAAAAGGGACACAGAAGGGAGAAGTGACCCAACCCACAAAACCCCACTGAGAGAAAGCAACTGCCCTCTTGAAGCCAGTAAGGTATGATGCAGAATGAAACTCTTCCAGACAAAATATTCACTGACTGCATTCTTTCTCATGAAGATAAATATAGCCCAGGAAAATGTAGATGTAAAGCAGAAAACAGGAATCCAATGAAGCAGAGAAGCAGTGGGGCTCCCAGAGTCTGGGAAGAGGACCTCCGGATGAAACCCAGGCATGAAGTCTGCATCGGAACGGGAAGGCAGACGGGTTCAGCATGGGTACTTTTGGGAAAAACTAGAACTGTCATCTACACAGGTTTGTCTGGGGAAAAAAAAACTATGTAGTGAGACTTTCTTATACAGATACAAAAAATATTAAATTTAGACAGGTTCAAAAAATTACAGATTTAAAAACCAATAGCTAAGAAAAACACTAAGGTTTACCAAAAAAGGAAATGAAATCATTATAACTTGAAAGAGCAATGAATCAGCATCATGGTAAAAACTTTGGAAAGAGGCTTAAATGACCTATTAGGAAGGAGAAAAGGAACATGAGCACCAAAATAATAATCAACCATGATAGAAAATCAAGAAATATTAAAATAGATGAGTCAAGAAAATGCAGTATGAACACACTATAAAGGGAAATGCCAAAATAAACTAAGAGTACAAAGTGAGGTTTCTAAGCAGAGATTGAGACATACAGGATACATACTTTTTAATCTAAATCTGTTTGTACTATTGGACTTTAAGAAATATGTACATAAATTATTTTGTTATAAAATTTTTAAATGCCAACAATCCATTTTAAAAACGCTCCCTTCTAATAACTCTATCTGAATTCATAAGAAACAAGCATGAATATTAAAGATATATTTTTAAAAGGTAGATGAAATAAACCTATATAGATTTAACTACTGTTTAAATTATCTTCAGATTAAATTTGCTAACTTAGCAAATTAAACATGGATAGCAAAAAAACTCATTTTTAATTCATGGTTTCAGTATGCTGCATTTCCTGTTTCTGAGTTGAATTCCTAATTAAAGGGAAAAATGGTCTAATAAAATATTGATATAATGTCATTCTCTTCTGCAAAAAGCGAGAAGTATCACTCAAGGGAAATAAAAAAAATGCTTAGTGCATATCACAGTGAATATTAATCATTTGTTTCTAAGGTAAGTCCTAGGTGCTTTTCTGAAAAATACATGATTACATTCAGAGAAAACAATGGGTGGCTCTACCAAGAGTCACATAACCAAGGCAGACTTTGAGTCTGCAATGTCCACTGGCGTGCAGGCCTCCAGTGAGGGGCGTCTCCTGGACAGGCCAACAGGGGCCTGCCTTGCCAGAGAAACACTGCATGAGCACGCTATTTCCTCTGATTCTTCTACTAGGGTGCAGAGAGTCCACTGAGGACTGTGGCCATGCCTTATTCAAAATCTGATACCCAGAAGGGTCTCGATAAATATTCAATGGAATGTATAAATTACTCAGTGAATCAGGCTCCTGTTCAACTTCCTTTTCAAATGCTGAAGCAGGTCTGTATTTTTAAAAAGGAATAATTATAAAAAATATATATATGTGAAATGCTGGAGAGTACCTTAGGAGGGTTCTTACTGAAAAGTCAATTGCTTGCTCTTCATGCTTTCTGTCACCTCTCCGCTAAAGGTCAACAGAAAAAAAAATCTCACAGACATCGTTTACTTTTGAGAATTTATTCTTTTAATATAATTTAAACACCACATGTCCTAATCATTACTTTCACAGGCAGAAAAATAATATGAATTTACTACCAGGTATCAGAACTTTAGCACTTACAGAAAAATGGAAATGATTAGAATTGTAAGAACCTCAGACTTTACACACATAATATGTAGTTGCATGTAGAGAAACACACACACACACAAATTCTACATTGTAGTAGGTACTTGAATCAGAAATACTATGACAAAATGGTGTGACCATGTCACAAGTAATCCAACAAAAGGTGCTAGAGCAGTGACTTCCAATTGTGGGAAATACTGTACTTTCTACAAATTATATTCCTCCTCCATGTTCATCTCTCTGACTTTGGGAGCACGTGTAGGTGTGTTCCTCACCCCTTTCAGCCTGTTAGAGAACAGGGCCTTCCAATAGTCTCTGTGTGAGCCACAGTACTGACTGGAGCGTATCCTGTTTCTGGTGTGCTGCACAGGAAAACAAGCATACAAACCCAGAAATTATTTGAGTTTTGAAACATAACTTCACTAGTGATGGCAAACCAACTTGATCAATTACTTGTGACTGAAGCAAGAGTTGAGAAAAATGTTGTTTCTTTTTGGTACCAAAACTAAAGTGCAGGGATCAGTAATGTCTGCCAGGAGGAAGGCAAAGGTTACAGGAAGTGTAGAATACCATCTCCCCTCTTGTCATTTTGGAACAGTCCAGTGAGTTCACGAGTAAACATCCAATTAGATTCCCATGTAGACCACACAATGTTCCCTGGAAGGCGGTGTGGTGTAGGAAGGAACACAAGGTAGACCTCTGCCTTCAGGAGGAGGCATCATCCGGGGCAAGTCACTGGCATTCTGTGCACTTGGCTCCTCATCCCGGCATGAGAGCTCCTCACACGGGAGCTTACCCCGAGGTCACCCCCAAAGAGCCTGACTCTTCTTGTTTTCCTGGTTAATTCATAACCCATAAGAGCAAGTGTTCCAAACATTACAGGTAATGTCTCATCAACTCATGAAAATCACAGCAATCAATTAAAACTCATTTTCTAATTTTTATATTTTAAGTGTAACTACAGGTCTTAATTTAAATGTGTAGAATGTGCATTACATTCTGTTCAGCTGATGATACATGCTGACTTAGGGTGATGTTCTGAAGAAATACTGTTCCCTTCATTAAAACGTCTTGTAAAGATTTTAGATTTAACTATAACGGAAACAATCCAAATATTCTACAGCATGGACACAGTTAAATTATGATACATCCTGTTGACAGAATACAACTATTTGACATGCAAAAGATTATTATGAAGAAATATAGGAAGTAAAAGGGTGCCAGGCATGGTGGCGCAAGCCTATAATCCCAGCACATGGGAGGCTGAGGCAGGAGGATCATTGCGAGTTTGAGGTCAGCCTGACCTACAAAGTGAGTTCAAGACCAGCCTGAACTGCATAGCAAGACCGTCTCAAAAAGACAAAAAAAAAAATTAAATTTAAAAAGTATATGGAAGATTGGAGCTCTTCGTTATAAAGCTATAGTCAGGCCTCTGTATTTATGGGTTCTGTATCAATTCAACCAAAGCAGATCCACAATATTCAGAGTAAAGAAAAAACCTATACTGAGCATAATTTTCTCATCATTATGCCTTAAACAATGTAAGAACTATCTGTATCATTTACATTATACTGAGTATTATAAGTAATTTAGAGATGAAATGTGGGAGGATGTACATAGGTTCTATGCAATTATACCATTTTATTTTCTTGCTTTGGAGACAAGATCTCACTATGTTGTCCAAACTGGTCTCAAATTCAAAGAACTCAAGTGGTCCTGCCTCCTGAACTACACTATTTTCTGTATGGTAAATAGGTTCTATGGATTTGGGTATCTTGCCAGGCAACTTTGAAGACCTTCCCCCCCATGGATAGTGAGAGCTGACTGCATGAATACTTAAAAAAACAAAACAAAACAAAAAAAAGATTATTAATAGTGGTTATTCCTGAGTTTTGGGTAACCTCATGTTTACAAAGAACAACTAATGGACTAAATGGGAGAAAATACGGTGACAGGGACTGTGGTGAATGTTAAGTACATGCACGCTTTCAGTACTGCCCAATATGATTTTTAACACCATGAAGGCTATACAGAACAAGCCATCAGTTTATCCTCCCTTGATGTAGGGCTCCTCTCTTTATGCTTTTTGTGTACTATGTGAAGTTTCTAAAGTAACTACATAATACTTTCATAAGCAGAGCTGTTTACAAACTCAAAGAGGCCACAGCAGTAAAATTCAGAAAAAAGAATTTTTTATTTCATCCATGGCAGTATATGTAGGCTGTATTATTTTAACCCACAGGCAGATGGAGAGTGGTTCTGATGAATTTGTAGTACTGATAATGAAAATCTGAGTCTCACAAATTAGGAAGTAAAGGTAGATAAAGAAGTTAAAAAAAAAAAACCTTTTTTGAGAGAGATGTATAATGGTGTAACATGAATTTACCCCAAGGACACCAAAGCGAGGACTCAAGCTGAGGTGGCAGACATGGTTTGTGATAATGACAGATGATGACTTTGGGCTTCGTAAGGTGCGCCACCCTTGTGCAGAGCAGAGGACCTAAGCAGTCTTGGTACCCAGAGTAAATCAACTCATGCAACAAAAGCTAAGGAAAATTTGAATTGAATGGGCAGGAGAGGGTACAGATGGGAAAACCTGATAGTATCAGTAAAGCTTAGGCACGACAGCCAGCAGTCAACTGGATGGGAGATACAGCTAGGACTATTCAGGATGGAGGCGAGCTGTGCTACCAAAAGCTACTTTTACAGGCGCTACTTTCAGAGACATTTCTACACTGAACTACCCTGCTCACAGTGTATGTGCTTAGTGTATTCTGTCACGCACATGAGAAGATGGCACAGTCCACACTGTTTACCAGCACACTAGCTAGGTGAAGTAGAGATGGCAAATGACTGCAGGTCTGACTAGCTTTCAATAAAGCCTGTGCAGGATCTTACTCAGTGGCTGGGTGTTACTCACCAACCCTTCACCACAGTGAGAATAATCCAGTGACTTTCCTCTCTCATACACCTATACAAAAAAACTTCCAAGTACCAAAAACTGGACCTTGTGACTTCAGAAGCTACACAAATAATCAACAATTCCTAATTCATAGCAGAGTATGTAGCTTAATTAGCCAAATATAATACTTACTAACTGAATAAAGGCAATAGAATTCTCACCTGAACTACTATTCTTTCATTAGGTAGTTTGCGATGTGTGTATATTTGAAAGGGCTTGACATGTAAACTCATTAAGTTCATAATCCAACTTCAAACAAAATAGTGACTTTTAGTTATCATATCATGCCATTTTAGCATATTTTATTTGGGAACAGAATAGAAATTTTTGACTGTATTAAAGTCCACAGTCCTTTAAAATAACTTTTTCTGCACTCATCTGATGTGACACTCTCTCTCCCTGCTCCACCCGAGTCTATTTTCACAAGAAGTTCAGGCTTCTCAGAACATAATCTTCATCTGGACACAGGTCATCTAACAAGTTCACAGAGAAGAATGAAAGGGAATTGAAACAGAGGAAATAAATGGCAAACTATATCTACTGAAATTTATGTTTCTAACTCAAGCAAACCACCGAAACCCTCACAACACTTGTCCATCATTATTTCAGTCACAATTCTAATATACTTCGTACCTAGTTTCCATTTTTTAGTAAGTCAGAAAAAAGTGGACATGATACAGTATTAGCAGACAGACAACGGTCTCAAAGTCACTAAGCAGGGGCAGTCAGGGGAAAAGGAAAAAAGCTACAAGTACAGGCATAACTGGTAAACAGCCCTGTGAAACAAAGTGGAAAATCTACCAAGCACATGACTTTAACAGAATCTGTGTAACTAAAGCTATTGATGACTCCAAACTATCAAAGTTACACTCTGTTCAGAATAATTTATTTAATGTAATATAACAGCTAATATACTTGAAAAGTAATTCTACTTAAAATGACTTAAAAAGTGTTCATGTTCAAAAAGAAAGCTAAAAGATGTCCTCACAAGTCATGCTAAATCTAATTCTTCAATATACAGAATAAGCCACTTCTATAAAAGATACAGATTCATGAAAATACAAAAAATTTTAATGATACATGGTAAACAAAAAGGAAGTTTGACTGATGAAAAATGAAAATAATTACAAGTACACTACTTTTACACAGTAAGTACAACTGCAGGCTTCAAGAGCTTAACATAAACCAACTGCTGTCAAACAAATATTTAAAGAAATACTTAATAGTGGAAGAGAAAGAAAAACCCAGGGAGGAGGACAAACTAAGAAAATGAACCCAAGAATGTGAACAGGAAATCCTAAATGCGTTTTTACAAATTAGAATTGAGTTGCAAGTAAGAGACACAACCTTGTCTAGGACTGTGACCTACAAGGCAACAGAAAGGGACCTAAAGTCAATTACATAACAAAAACAACAAAACCCATAGTCTTCGATTATTTAATCCAGACATTACCTAACCCCTCAAGTTCACCTGGCACAGTGGTGTTTATCATTCTCTATCAGAATGAAATGTGGAGTGAACACCATAATGGTTCTGCAGGAAATTTTAGAGCTAATTTAACCTAGGTTACAAGAAGAAAAAAATTTTGTTCATGTAGTATTGTTGATATGAAAAAGTAATATGCCAAAGAAGGAACTGACGTAAAATGCATTTTAAATGATCAGCAGAATCTGAAACTTCAAATAATCGGATCTGAAAATGTTGATAAAATGTAGATTGTCAAGTATTTTAAAATTGGGGATCGGACTGCACTCCTCTTTGGCTCAAGAGACACAAAATTGGTAGGTTTCACAGTGCTTCCTTCCCCAAGCCTATTACAGTATAAACACATTCAATTTCTAGGAAAGACATTAAAGAATTCTGCTTCTAGCCCACCCCTGTTGATTCAGAGTAAGAACATCCAGAACAGACAGAGAAAATTCCTCAGCTCAGGCCATTCTCAAGTGGTCACTGTGGACCACCCAGCTTTGACTTTGGTATAGGGAACAAGTCCTTCTTGCTCTTTCCTCTACATTTACTGTCATGGCCCTTTGTGTAAAGTGGAAAAACCTTGTCCTAAATCAAATTAAGACTGGGCTAGGGTGTAGCTGAGTAAAGCACAGGCTTAGCATGTGCATGGCCCTAGGCTCCATCCCTTGCAAGACCTACCAGACAAACTGCTTCTAAGCTGATGTACTGACATTTGACTGGCAATTTTACAGTAAGACTTTATGAGAAATGTCAATATGAAATATGTCAGAGAAATAAAGTATACATACATGTACAGCAAAGAAACAGCTATAAATTAATAAGCAAATGTACGCAATAAAAAAATATGTACCATGAGTCTATTATTGATTTTCACTGCCAAAAAACAAGGTTATAGTTCAAATCACGATTTCCTAATAAATACACAAGATTACAATCAAACATACCAAGAAAATTGTGAGAAATTTAAAACAATGTAAAATGCAGACAGGAGAAGAATTTTACACCTATAGTGGCACACTTAGATCAAGTACTCTCTTCCCATTATAGTAAAGCCAGAATAATAATTTGACAATATTCTGTTTACTAAAGGATGGCAAGTATTGTTGCTGGTGGCAGGTGTGGATTGTTTTCATCAGAGAACATTAAAAGGTTGAAATAGTATCATTTACAGATTTAACAAACAGCTCTGACAGCCTCTCATTAATCTTTGATAGTTGATAATTAGAATAGAAAGACATGATGAAATAAAAAATGAAGATCAGTTTTAAAAGGAAAAATTCATTTTTGCAGTGCAGGGGATCAAACCCAGGACAGTGTACATGTTTGGCAGGTGCTCCACTGAGCTGTACCCCCAACCCCCAATAGAAAAACTCTTAAAAGCAGTCCCAGCACCTATATGGTAAATACAGAATGAATTCCTAATCTGGCATAGATTTTTTTTTAATAAAAAGAAAAAGATGTGAATGACTCTACCTATCAGTAAAAATATGAGTAACAAACTGCAATGGCTCAACGCTCATAAACTATGCAAGTTCAGTATGAAATGTTCATCTGATACGAAATTCAGCTGTCAAGAGGAAGCAACATGAAGGACATGACAGAGTTTATGAACCAGCTTGAAGGAGCCATCCAGACTTTACCCTGCCGAACCCTTTCTGGGCGATAATTAGATAAATCTTCATAGATGATATACTGTGTGCAAAAGCGCTGATCAGAGTCGGGTTTGGCATGGTATGCGACTGTATTGATGGTCTGAGTCACATCGCTGTCTGGCTTGGGCTTTCTACTGAGGATCTGACCCCCTGCTGCAGCAACGAGTTTAATAAGGTTGTCCTTTGGGTGATGTTTGAAGGTTCCCCCAAAATAGAAGTAGCAGCCATCAAACAGCTTAGGTAACTGAAATAACAAGAAAAAAAAATAACTGTTAAAAGCAGATCAAAATATTTTAAAACACTGCAAATGAATGAAGGAAATAAAAACAACAGTCAAGAGCAATTAAGAAGGTATTTTATGAGCTGCTGGCACAAGTTTTATTTCACAACTGAAATAACTGGATCAAGAAAAATACTTATGCAAATAAGGGTTTCTATTGACTTTTTTTTTTTTGGTCTTTTTGAGATAGGGTCTCGCTATGTAGCTCACGCTGGCCTTGAGCTCACTTTGCAGCCCAGGCTGGTTTCAAACTTGTAACAATTCTCCTGCCTTAGCCTCCCGAGTGCTGGGATTACAGGCTTGCGCCACAATATCCACCCCTATTGACAAGTTTATCTTCCTAAGATTGAGTCACTATCTTGGGTCCTTTTAAGCATCCGAAAAATTTACATGTGCTCTGTAAAAAAAAAAAAAAAAAAAAAAAAAAGACAAAAACAATTGTTCAACAGATCTCTTTTGTCAAGATGCCTATGCATACTGGAAGGACTTGGCGCCCCCAAAATTTCTAGGTTATCTGAGGTATGCTTCAAGAATACCAGGTTAAACTTAATTAAGTTGTAACAGTAATATCTTTTTTTTTTTTTTTCCCGGTACAGGGAATCGAACTCACAACCTTGCAGTTGCCAGGCAGCCACTGTGCTGCTGAGTTAAATCCCCGCCCTAGTAATATCTTTTTGATGGGCCATCCAATTTTGCCCATCTCTACTCAGGTCCCTACATATCACAAACTTCTGGTCTCTACAGCAGGTCTTGGGGTTTCTGACATGTACCATATTGCTCTGGCACAACAGATTATGAAGTGACGGCAAGTGATCCACTCAGCTAAGCAACACTTCTGTGTGCTTCCTATTAAAGTAAAACTTCACAGTGCCCTCCTAACAACAGGAAAATGAGATGTTATCCATTAAAACAGCAATATGTGGCAACAGACATACGGTACCCAAATCCGAGCAGCAGCTGTAAGTCTTCTTGCAAGCTACTTCCTGTATCTGAGATTTACCTCAAATTCTGAAAGGTTTATGGGAATGTTCAAGATGCCAAAAATCCATTAACAGCATGAAATTATTACCTTCTGAATTTTACTGCACACTGTGATCATCTTTTAGAATCAAGTGCTTGAAATAAGCACAATTAAAATTTTAATCAGTCACCTGTACTTGTTGAAAGGGCAGAAGTTTTTCCTGATGGTGGTAATAATATGAAGTCATGAGAACAAAGAAAGTAATAGCAAAAGAAAAATACCAGCTGTTCTCTGTTGAGCCTGCCTCTCCGTGGACCTTCAGGAATTTCGTACTTTTCTTCCTGGTCACAGACCTTTCTTTGTAGACATGCTTTCACCCCTGAAAAAACAAGGACAAATAAAAATCACTGTCAAATGGGCATTATTTCTCTCACTGAAATTGAGCAAAATGATCTACCTTTTTTCTTCTTCATGGTTGATCTAAGTGCTATTATGAAATAGAAATCTTACTTATGCCATAAGAAAATAGAGTAAAACTGGCCCTCCATAGAAAGAAAACTTAAATCCTTCCTTCAGATGATTAAGCAATGAAGCACTACTTTTAATCTCCTTTCTGAAAAACCTACACCACTACACTATTTCAAACACAAGGATGAAAACTAACAGTTTCACTAACAGCAATTACCAAAATTAAGGTAAATAAAAAGTTCATTATTGAGTCTAGCACAAAATAGTTTGAATTGAGCATTTACCTGACTGCCCATTGTGGCAGTCAAGAGTTAATCTCCTCTCAGACCATAATATGACCCAACGTTAGGAAAGTGCTTTAGCCGGCCATATGACAGGGCTCCATGGCACTTGTTTAAACAGGCAAAGACTTGAACGTGCTTGGGATTTCACAATGAAGTCACTACTTTCAGAGATTTGGTTGGGCTCCACAGAAAAAAAAAACATGCCTCCACTAATTTGGATAACTGAACCAGTTTCAGGTGTTTAAAAAAAGCAAGAGCAACACAGCGATAACACATCTTATGCTGTTGGGAGTTGTTCCTCAACCCAGCTCCTGGGTAGGGAAGCCCTCAGCTGGCCCATTAACTGACAGCTACTAAGCTCTGACTAAGCAACAGTCTGACTGAGTTCTAGAAATGCTATAAAGCCTTGGGAATGTCTTGGACCAGTCAATGGGAGGAAAAAGCCTTTTAATCTAGAGGTCACCGCTTAGGGTAGCAGTTGATGGCATGTAACTAAGATTTAGTTTAGGATGGCACATAACTAAACTTGAGATTTGAAGTCAAATGACAGTTACCTCAGTTACTGGCTTTGGGACGTTATTTAAATTCTTTAAGCCTTTGTTTCCTTGCTCATGGAAACAAAAATAAAATTAGCAAAGCCAGACTTCTATGGATAAAATGTAACAAATGTTTTAGAAACTGGAATTCTACAATAAATTATCTTCATTTTAAAAACAAAACCTTAATACAATTTGCTATTGTATTTGAGATTACTTTACTCTATAACTCAGTTTTATCACCAAGGGAACTCCATGAGGATAAAAACAAAATTTAAAAAAAGAATAACTCTGTAGAACCTTATAAGACTTCAGAGTAAAAATCCAAATTTGTATTCATCTTTTGTATTCCTGCTGTTTCCTGCTACTTTTTAGCCCCATAATCTAATCTGAACATTTATTAAAATTGAAAGGTTTTAACTTTGGGTGCTTAATTTAAAATGGTGTTTGATTCCTTTATTTATCACAGAGATGAGCTCAAGTTATGACATATAACATGATAACAGAAACTCCTTACTCTTTTTATTATTATAATATTTTTTTATTTTAAAGAGAAAAAACAGTAAAAATGACACAAAATTTCAAAACAAAATGATAGAAAATTAACAATAGTTATTATACTGCATGTTGTTATCTTCAAAGTTATTGGTCAGATTACCAGATATAGGAATGCAAATTGATTAAACAATACAAGCACTAACTGTTCCTTTCAATGAACTAATAACTTGTCCAAAAGTTTAAAGAATTTGAAACAATGAAGGACCAATTTTATTCTAAAAGTTAGAAAAAAACTTGCCAGTCAAATAATCTGGAAGTATTAATGATTTGGATGAAATAATGAAGTAGGATTCAAAATTACAAGTGGAAAGTGCTAGAGGCTTTTAGTCCTTTATAGTGCTAAATATGAAATGGAATAATTAAACATTGAAAAAGGTACAATATCATTAGGAAAACATGGATCATCAAGATGTTTTATTGTTACTTCCCTGGGCACAAATAAGTAGAATGGGAAAAGAATTTATCTGCTTATATATTATTGTCCTTACACCTGTAAGTCCTCTAAGAAAAAACTTTACTCATAAATTTTTGTTAGTGGAAAACTATCACAGCAATATCACTTTATAAAAACTATTAATGCTATCTAATATACATCCTAGGAGCAGAATGCATTACACTTTTAATGTATAAATATTATCTAATACTCTGCAAACACCAATTTCCCAAAATTAAAAATATGCACAATTACAGTGCCTAACCAAATATTTAAAAGAATAGAAAACCAATGCTAAAATTGCACACTGATACTTTCTGGTTAAATGAGAACAAAGAAAACCAAATTCTTTAAAGCCCAAATTATTATCTTCCTTTTTTTTTTTTTTTAAAGAAATAACCATTCTAACTTAAAACTACAATTATATTTATTCTAAAGTCAGACTTTCATGAAAATTACGGTTAACAGCTGATATTTCTGTTATATGTCTATTATTTCCTCAAATACAGCAAGATTGACACTTGCTATCTACAGTAATCGTGTTCTATGAAGATGCTATTAATAAAAATTTGTGCACACTGAACTTGTGTTTTTAGAGGGAATACCAGGTTAGGCTTCTGTGAGCTTCAACTCCCAACATTTTTGTCAAGTGATTCACACTTTGTCTTATGTGAGCTTATATTTAAAGGCTCCTAAATTATTCTGTTGTGTTTACTCATTAGCATTAAACTCACAGCTAACAACTCAGGCCTTGACAAAGCTTTCTTGTCAACAAATACTTTTGCTGAAAGGAACAGTCTTCTTGAATTTAGGAAAATCAGACAGTACTGCAACCTATATTCAGGCCACTTTAAACAGTGAAATCAACAAAAACACACAAAACTGGAATGACCACACCTCTGAAAAACTGTGCAAGGGGCCATTTGTTTAGACTAAGAGGCCTGAAAAAAAAATGGCAAAGTACCAACCTGCTTGACCTCAGCAGCTGGCAATACCCTCAACCTACAACTCAAAAGTCTGAGCCACTGTGCATATGTCTACAAAAGCAATGTGCGTATTGATTTGGGCATTATAAAATTGTAGCAACTAGATAAATTCAGAAATACAGAATCCACAACAATAAACAATGAGGATTTACTGTATATTATTCTCCTTTCAGGGGAGGAGGCAAGTGCGAGGAAGTTAACTGGCTTAAATGTAATGCATTCTGCTCCTAGGATGTATATTAGATAGCATTAATAGTTTTTATAAAGTGATATCGCTGTGATAGTTTTCCACTAACAAAAATTTATGAGTAAAGTTTTTTCTTAGAGGACTTACAGGTGTAAGGACAATAATATATAAGCAGATAAATTCTGAGTGGCAGAGTGGGAATTTGAACCCAAGTCTACTTAGTTTTCTAAAGGCTATACATTTTACACTAAAATACGGCTTCCTGGAATGCAAGATAAGCCTTGCTCTAAAATGCAAGGTATGATTGTGAATATGCTGAATGCTTTAAAGCTGCTTTGTGCATTCTAAGATATTTAATATATAAAAATCACAAGATTTTAACAACTTAATATTCCATCTCTCCAAATACAAAGCTTTTCCAAGAGACTGAATTTTTCCTTAACTTAGGACTGTTGCATGTATATTCCGTTTTCAACACACACCCACTCAGGTACATCCTTAACTCTCTATCACCTGCTTCTCAAATTGTTGGTTTTGTCTGCACTTTGGTGATCAAATCTCCTCCCTCAATTGTTATTGTCATAATCATATGACCTCAGTTTAGTAAGCTGAATTTCTAAATCCTATTGTTTCACTAACTTATAAATATCCTGTAAAAGTTATTGTTTTGCATGTAAATAAAATATTTTTAAACCAGTACATTTTAAAAGTCCTCACTCAGTAAAAAACTAACAAAGCTAATATTAAAGCACTTACTTCAACGTATATGAAAGTGAGACTCAAAATTTTGGGGTAGGTCAAAATACCATAGTAGAAATACTTCCAATATGCTGATATTACATCATACACTCATCCCACACCAAACACCAGCACACGAAATAAAAAGAATTTAGATGTGTTGTGTATAATATGTACCACCTTCCCACAATGAATGTAATCATTTTGTACTATAAACATGTACTAATAAAAACTAAAAGGAAATGTACGAGAAAAATTAAAAATATTAACAGCATAAGACACTAGCAATCCTAGCAAAACTATGAAAGTCATTACTTCACATGTAAATTATTTTAATTTTTTAAAAAATCAGTTAAGCATATAGGCCCCTTCCTAAAATTCCTTCCTACTATTTGAAGAGCATTCCTAATAGTACCTTTAGGGGAAGGATCATGCCATATTTGAAGCCAAGGAGCCAACACTAACACTTCTACTGGCTAAGGTCTAACTACAGAAGTAAGTTAAACTGTGCCTATGCTGGCTGCTTCACCATTCTGTAGGTTTACGTAGTTGATTAAACTCTCACAAGTACCATATTAAAATGATATCCACTAGACCTAGCAATGTGTTAGCACCTGTCAATAGAATGCAGTCTGATCAGACACCTGAGTTGATTAGGTATGAATAAAATGGTGGCCATCAAGAGGGCGGCATGTCCTTACTGTGGGAGGGCACCCAGGCTTGTACTGTATGAATATGCCTCAATTCAGACCATTTTCAGCTCTGTAGCAGCTGATCATTAAATTTCTGTAAAAGCAGAAGAATCCAATCCTCTAATTACTTTTTCCAAACCAAATACACTTTGTTGATACTCTCTTAATCCAGCTCTATGCCGCCCAGTATCACTGCAGAATAAAAACAAAATGCTTCTTTCTTTTCTCTCTCTGAAAACTAAGGAACCATTTCCAACCTGTAACAGAGGTGACAAAGTGGTTTTTGGTAGAGTTGCTGTCATAGCATAGACAATCTTGAAAATTTTTTGAAAACTGAGAGTGACATCTACGCCAAGGTTTATAACTTGAATGACTACAACCAAATAGATTACAGGAATCCTAAAAGATTTAAGCAGCTTTCCCAGTGACATAATTGAGATGAGAATTCAGATATCCTCCATTTTGTTAAAACCAAACATCTAAGTAAATGCTGGCCA